TTGATGTACACTAGGTCATAGTAGAACAAAAACTATCACAGGCAGCTGGCGTCAATGAAATAATGTTTATGGTTTTAAATGAATTATTCATCAAGGGCCACATTTCAAATTCTCAATAACACTGCTTTATTAATATTGATAGCATAATTTACTAAAAATGTTTACTAAAAAAGCAGATAAAGATGTAACTTTATGTAATTTTGTTTATTCAAAATATTAGACAGTTGCATGGTAACGCTAAACTTTCCCTTTTGTATGAAAATCTCCAGAAAAACAGGCCTAATTTTTCTGGATTTATACAAAAAGAAATAATAAATAATATTGAATTAGATTTTAAGCATATGGTTTGAAGTTTACACAATGTTTAAACACAAAACAGCTATTAAGCCATAGTGTTAATTATACAGTATGTTTGTACAATATGTGTTCAAATATGGTAGGATTGAGGTGGGAGGGTAAAAAAATCATTTGGCCTAAATGATTTTGGGTTGAAAGATGAGAGAGCTTCACACACACCACTGGCTAAACCAAACTGATAGATGGGTAACAGATATACGCAGCACAAAAAGGAGGCGATAAATACATAGTGGAGATAAATAATAATATGAATAATAGATGGATTTATATAGCGCAAATAAACGACGCCTCTATGCGCTCGGGACTGGATGTTGCAGTTTTCAATAACTTTCTCCTCCCCTGAGGGTCACTTCATGTCATCTGCAGCCAGTAAACTACAGGCACACTTTCATCTGTCCATGACGGGGCCAAGTGAACCAGTACACCGGGGTAACCCGCTACTCATCATCTCGAAAGATGTACTGGGTTCTTTAAAGTGCCCATGAGCATTTGTGTACACTGGGCCTACGATTTATAGTCCTTATCCAAGAAGACTTGTTCCACCACCAGAACATCTGGTTGCATTACCAAACACCTTTAGTTTATGCTCACACGAAAATATTGTTTTAGAGCAATAATATAAATCACCGTATTTATTCGATAAATACCCGGGGCGTTTAATGTTGAGAAGGGTTTTTGAGCCCGGGAAGTTTATCTGAAAGGAGGTGTTTATTTTTTTGGTGTCAAATGGATATGTATACCAGTGGCGTATCTAGGGAAGGACGTGGGGGGCACGCCCCCCGCAAAAATCAATCAGGCCCCCCAAAAAATCACGGTCAAGTTGTAAAAATCACCTAAAATCACCATATTTTGCGAATTAACGCCCCCCCCCCCCAACTTGATCATCAAGCCTCCCCACTTCACCTTCGCACCCCCCCCTCCCCCTCTAGATACGCCACTGACGTATACTCTAATAAAACACCCCTTAATTTGACTGTACTGTACATATGGAACTACAACACATAATTACCATCAAAATGTGTTATTACAATGCTACATGATCCAGTGACGGTGCCAGGGTCTGCCCAACGAGGCCTTTGTTGAATAAAACAAGAAACAAAGAGTATGCAATATACTGTAACCATCTAATTTATTTTCAAATCTTTATTCTTCAAAGTGAAATTCTACATTTTGGAAATTTTGCATACAATCTGTCAACCACGTTGTCAAGGTTGCTTCCCCTATCACATTGTATTCCAAGCATCATGAGGCTTTCCAAACGATCATTTGTCATAACAGAATGCAAATTATTGGGCTATT